GAAACGCGCATTTTCGGCGCATGTACACGCATTTTTTAGGTTGGACACAAATTACACATTTCAGCTCTGCTACCTTGGGTGTTGAGGAAATGCACGCTTACTTGAACTTAGACACCAATTGGCGTTTAACATTAAACACTTGTTTTACCAGTGTATTCACCGCGGTCTTTGAAAGCAGAAAGGGGCATGGCGCAGCCTACATAAACCGTCGAGGTCAAGAAATAATCAACAATTCCTACGATGTTCAGAAAAATAGTCAACTCATCAGCAGTTTTACACCGCACCAGAAATATGGGTTCTCGTTTCAATATTGAAATGCACTTAATAGCGAATAAAGAAGAGTATTTTGCACTTGCTGAGAGAACAATTGCACTTGTAATGAACCGATTACCAATTCCGCGGTTTAGAACAATAAGTTTAAAACGACATCACCATAACCGCGACTCTATTCACACTCTCCCGTTCATTAGCCGGATCTGCAGCATATGGGGGACGAGCAGGGCGGGATGGCAGCGTTGGGCAGCGGCGCGCGGGGCGTGGTTTGGCGGTGCGGTGCGCAGCGTGCGTGACACACACTAGTGCTGCAGGGTGCCGCTGCTGTGCGCCGAATCTTAATTAGAGGGGCCATCGCGCCTCGATTGAGATCTCAATCAATAGTGGATTGGGCCGGCCGTGGTGCCCTGATGACAGCGACAGACTGACAATCAGCCGGGCCGTTCGGCGGGCCGTGCGGCGCGCGGACCTAACCAGAGCAACACGGCTAATTTCCTGATTTTGATGGCAACGCCGCGTCACCGTCCCAAACAGAAAGAAAAAATGAAATGGATATCAAAAAAGAAAACACGACATTCTAGTTAAAACGCGACCGAAAGCAGTTGCGGTAGCATGTAACCGAGGCTAGAGTGCTAGACCACACACACTCAATCAAGTGAACTTTGCATTAATAAGGTATAAGCAATTCTGTTAATAAATCGCAACCGATCGCAACGATACTGTCGAGAAATTGTTTACTTATCGACGGCCGTTTTTTCAAGAGCCAAACGAATGTGTGCGTAAGAGTAACAGTATTGTTGTTACTTTAGCATATTGCACAAAATTGTTTTTAGCAAAGAATTAAAAACTAATCGCACCATGCCCTGACCATAGTAAAGGCCCCGGAACTGTCATGGTATGGCCGTCCTTGGTCAACAATTCAAAAGGTGAACGTTTAAGGAGTTTAAAACATAGTTGCTTCCCAGCGGCTCGCCTGCAGGCAGCCACCTAGGCACGCTGCTGCGCAGAGCTACAATAGGGTTGCCTATGCGGGAGTCCGCAGGCGCTTAATGAGCAGAGCTTTGATTTGCCGTTAACTCCTGAACCAAAGAGGCTCACCTCTAGTTTACTTTCAAAACAAATATATTGAATCGAATAGCGTCATCAGGTATAATACAAAATATTTATTCTCTAGAACTCTTGATTGCTAGTTTAATAAAACGCGTGCCATTTTTTGACGATTTATTATCACTGAGCAACCTGCACTTAAAATGGGAGTGTGCGAGAAATCTCAATTAGAAAGTTGGTCAACTGTTGCGAGTGAACGAGGTGGGACAAGTTTACACAATGATGATCAAGAGGTATTCGTGAACTTAAATTTCTGGCTCAGTTCTAAGGTCAAGAACATAGGGCAGTAAGAGAGGCATTCCAAAAAGGAAGGGGAAGCAAAAGAAGAAGGTGAATGCCAGAAACAAAAGAGAATGGCGCTAAGGTTTGGACCGGGCAACGAGAGTCCGGGACGGGGCAGGGAGGCAGAGCGAAACAGCGCGGTGGTTCCCGATTGAAGTGGGGTGGGCAACACGCACCTCGTAATTGAAGTAGTTGTGGTGGCGCCACGGCCCGTACGGCCCGTTGTCGGGCGTTACGGATCACGGCAAAAGGCAGGATCTGCTGCCAGGGTGCCCGAGGAAGGGAAATGGATGGGGAAAGGGAGGAGGTGTGGGCGTAGAGAAGAGAGGAAAACGCGCTCCGGAAGGTCAGTCAAAAAAAAAAGAAAAAAAAAAAAAGAAAGTGACGGTGAGAGAGTAGCGGCCCTCGGCCGGTCGAACATTTTTTCCTCCCTCGACAAAGAAGCCCCACCCCCCCACACCGTATGTTGAGCTGATACATTTCTTCCTGTTTTTATTTTTTCCCCTCCGCAAGCGAAACAGCGCTGTTCAAGAAGAGAGGCGTTGACACTGCGGGGCAAGAAGAGGGCAAAAGCGGGAAAGAGCAGTGGCGCTCTCCAAGGCTCCAGCGCCCTGCGGGGCGCGAGAAGAAGAGTAAAAACATTAAAATGACCCCGAAAAACAAAATAGGGTCACTGTCAGTCTAAACTAATTATTCGCAGCCAAAGTCGGTGGCTTTGCTCTGGCCCCTTTCTACGGGCGTGGTGAGGCGTGGCGTGGCGAGGCGTGGCTATGGCAGACCAGGACCACGGCGCCACCACTGCTGTGAAGAAGCTAAATGCTGCGGAGGCAGTCTGCTTCACACTCCATCCAGAAGCATCCTAATTCCAAGAAATGTGGCAAACTTTGCGGAACACAGGGCGCGGTGCGGCGCGGAGGGGGAAGTGCTTGAAAACAAGCCAGAGGCCGCCGCGCCGAGATGCTATAGCTTTGGGGGCAGCGTACGGAGGCGTGCCTTAGCGGGGCTTAGTGCGATAAGTCCCCTTGCTGGGACGAGGCGGGCGAACGCGGCCAAGGTGGCTGGTTGGTTATTTGGTGTCGGTCTGGAGCAGGGGGGG